CCCCCCGGCAGCTGTGCAAGAAGGACTCCGAGCGCATGCGCCTGGTGAAGGTCACGGGCAGGTGTAGCCATGACAGAAGCGTGGGTCCCCAGCTGGTCTACACTCTCAACCAGCGTAAGAACCGATGCGTTGACCAACACTCAAATCCTAACACTTTATTTCTACACAGATTGAAGTATGTGGCTTCTATTCTAATAGTGGATAAAATAGCTACTGGAACATTTTAATTACGTAACAAGATTAAGGATACACATGTGCTCCATCTGACTTAAAACGTGCCTTACTACTCGTCAGTCTATGATGCACGTAGCAGCTTCTGATATCTCCTTTGATTGTAACCTGCTCCGTCTTCAATCATATCTAAAATCAGATTTATAAGGTTAAAAGACGCCCTTTTAACTGTGTCTCCACAGGTCAGGAAGAGAACCTGATTCCCTACAGCCTGGTGCAGCTGGAACACGTTTCGTCCCGCAGGCCTGTCATCTTCTCCCCGTCGATTCTGTCGCACAGACTCATCGAGAGGCTGCTGCAGCCTGCGGAATCCGGGCTGGACTTCAACACCTGCCCCCCAGGTATAAGCGCATGGCAGCCCTGCCCCTGAAGTCGGAGTGCCCTTTCACCTTTCCACTTCCTCCCAGGTTGACCTTTAACCTTGCACTTCCTGTTGTCACTCTGTGACCAGCAGAACCCATAGGCCCGGCTGAACGGAGGGATAAAAACGTCTTCCTGCTTGATGTGCCGAATGACCAATCGCAGGGCATCAGACTGGAATCCATACAGGATGTCATACATCAGGTATGATGCTCTCCATGTGTCTTCCATTCTGTGTTTTACCTTGGACCACTAAACATGTCCACCATCCCATTCTTCAGGACAAGCACTGTTTGTTGGAGCTGGGTGTGGGAAGCGTGGAAGCCCTTCTGAGACAGGGCATCTATCCCATCGTCATCCACATCAAGCCCAAGGACAAAAAGGGCAGGAGGTTCAAGTGCGTGTCCATCCTGTCAGTCACAGACATGTCCTATGCTCATCTATATGACTCAAATACTCATTTCTCTGTTTTTGACAGGAAATTTTTGTCCGGGCAAAGTGAGGAAAAACTGATGGAGGAGGTGTGTCAGAAAGAAGAGTTTCAGTTGGAAAGCCTGCCCATGTTACACTATACTCTCCAGCCCAGAACGTGGAACTGCACTGAGGATCTTCTGGTTGCCATACGCAATGCCATTTATAGCCAGCAGAGGGCAGTAGTTTGGGTTGAACAAAGCAGACTGTAGGGCATCGATATCCCTTCAGAGTGCCGCTGCTTTTAATATTACAAAACAGGGTTCCGATCCTGGAGGGGGCGGTGGGGGTGCAGAATCCAACGCAGCTTGCAAATTTAACTGCTCTGAAAAACTTCTTAATATTTAGCAAGTGTGTTCATGCACAGTTACCATTTTTGTGTGTAATACTGTGGTGAAACCACCCTTTTTATTTATTTCTCAGTTTAAAGTATCACACTTAGGCCTACGGAAAAAAGTTAATGGCTCAAGGTGTATTGACTAAACGGTAATGGGATTACAAAACAACTGTAAACTCTTACTTTGTCGACAAGAGTAATAACGAAATGAAAATCCCCTTAAATGTGCCTTGCTGAGGAATTTTAATAAATAAAATTCAAAATGAAACATTTTTGATTTTACTTATGTGTGTCACAGAATGCTAAAGAACATACACATTTACTTAATTCCCCACCAAAATTGTTGGTTTCTTAATACTGTGGCTGTATATATTCCTAAATATTCCTTAGACTAATTTGTTATATATAAACAAAGCTGTATGGTCTATTAGAGATCCATGTCTTGCGTACATTTTTAAGATCGTCCTTTAGGTTGTGTTTATTTCAAATATAAGGAAATTAAGATAATACATTTTACCATTAAATATTTCAAAATACAGTATTCTTTGGAGCACAGATGCAAGAGCATATGAGGATTGAATCACCAGTGTGGCTATTTCTATTTAAATATGAATCACCTATAAAGCAAATGTCAAAATTGTGTTATCTTTAGCAATCAGAAGATCATTTTACATGGCCACACTAATAGCAGTTTACTATCACAGCCGTAAATTTTAATTCCGTGTGCATGTTTCATAGTATATCTGGACTATCAAAACACTAGTTTAACCACACGTGTATCTTGAAAGCCACACTGAACATAATATGAACTTATAGCGTCAATTTCAATAGACTATGGCAGATAATTACATATTGTCGAATTATATGCTTTCGAGTAAACAGCATTTGGAAAGCTAATACTGTATGCTGACATTCATAGTCATAGGGGAAATATTGCGTTTTATAGACCGTGCGCGTGCGTGCCTGCGTGTGCGCGCGCCAGCGAGCGAGCGAGAGAGAGAGAAAGAGAGAGAGAGAGAGAGAGAGGTAAAATGGCCGACCGTCAACTAACTGACTTTCGAGCGCCTTAGAAAAGCAGCAGATCGTGAGTGTTTACTCTGCAAGAGCCCGCCGAGACACTAAATGCCTTCGGAGGGTGTCTCCTGACTGTGGTTCAGCCGAAGGGCAACGTCGCAGCGCGTCCCATCCAGCTTCGGATGCCTCCGAAAGCAGGAATCCGCACAGAAGCACTTTATTTCACATGTAATTCCTGAGGTGAGCAGCCAGCCAGCGGGGCGGGCGGCAGTAGCAGCCCTGGTCCCCGGCCGTCATCGTTCTGCACACATTTTATGTTAAAATGTCGGAGTTGTTCGGGCGAAACGAAAGTGAAGCGGATAATCCGGCTAAAAGCTCATTCTCGGGGGAGAACCGAGCCCAGCCTTCCGTCAGGCTGCGGGCAGCGTCATTTTTTCACCGTTTTCCAGCGTTACGTTACGCACTGCCCTTCATTTCTGGCGTATTTATATGTTCGTGCAGAAAAGGTATAAGCTGAGATACTGGTTGCGATGCCGTGTTTATGTATACTTTGCTGTCGGCCGAGCGGCTACGTTAGCATAGCTAGCTGCTCCGATAGCAGCGAAGACCCAGCGCCCAGATCGTGTTTTCCGTCAAGAAAGCAGCGCTTTATACGGAGCCCGTCTTTACCCCGAGGGCATCAGAGGCGCTTTCGTGCCCAACATACAAAAGGTGTTTGCTTGGCCACGGATTCTGTCCCGCCGCTGGGGTGGGGGGTGGCGAAAGCCACGGGCGTCGATCTGCGCAGGCCCTCGTCCTCGGGCCACTACTCGAGACCGAGGCTGCTCCGAGGCCTAGTCGCACAGCGGGCCGAGACACCCCCCCGCCCCATGCTAGTTAAATAACGTTTAATTAGTAACATGTACGTATCGCTTTTAGAACTGCTAGCGATAAATGTGAAAGTTATGGGGAGGTGGAAGGCAGCACCTAAATCCGTGGTTGCATGTCAGTGAACGCTTGTTAGCGGACGTGTCCCGTCCGTCACCGAGGGTCGGGGCGGCTGGCTTTACTGCAGTTGACTAATCCGAGTTGGGACTAACTTGTCAACGGCGCGACCTGACTAGTTTACTTCATCCTAGTTGCGCCCCCCTCCCCCGCCCGGGCGGCGTTGTGGGTGCAGCAGCAATCCTTGTGGGCATGCTGGCTAACTTGACACCTGGAAGGTGACACTAGGTAGGGCTCGATAGCCGTATCTGTCGCAGCCGCCTGTCTGCACTGCTGTCCCTGCTGCCTCTTGTTCAGGATCATTCAAACCGGACAGTTGTTAATAACTTAATTACAATCAGATTAGCTCTGTTTGGTGCTTACTGAAGTCACGTTAGTGTCAGAGGCGATTTTCTTGTCCCCACGTTGAGATAGCTGGCCTGGATTGGTATTGTTGGTTGTTTTTAATCGTCCACGATCTAATTATTTAAATAAAGTGCTACACGTTTTTGTTGTTGTTGTTGTTGTGGTACTATAGTACCTGCAGAAACTTTCAAATGAAATCGAAAGTGAAATCCTTTATTTAAAAAAAAAAAAAACTTGCGCTAGTGATTCACTCGCTACATTTTCTGTCTCTCCTGATTGTAGAGAGGAGCTTCAGGAAAGGGAACAGCAGTTCATGGAAGACAAGAAAAGGAAGAAGGAAGAAAAACGTAAAAGGGAAGCATCCCAGAAGGTATTCTTAGCTTCTCTGCAGCGGAGCGTGCCCGCCTAGGGGCTGTGGTGCTTGGTATCTTTTGCGTTTGTGGGTAGACAGCGGTCACATGTGGTTAGGAGGACGTGGGAATTGCACACGGTGTCCCCCTCACACCAGGCATCTATGTGTCGCTTTGCTTTTCGTCTCCAATTGGAGAAATGCGTTTTTAAAAAAACAGGCCTTTTGCTTGTGCAGTTTTTTCTTGGCTCCGTGTGATTGTCAAACCCACTCGAAGTCATGGAGCCATGTGCTGAACTGTGGTCAATTTAAGGCAGGAGTCTTTTATATTTTTATTTATAGCCCTTTTCTCTGCCCCATTTCAGGTTGCAGAACAAAAAAACAAAGGTGAGCCTTTTTTTTTTTTTTTTTTGCCCATTTTGCTGTTTCATTCATCTGTCTGCTGTGCTCACATGACCCGCATTTGGCTTTGGCTGTCTAGCTTACCGAAGGCTGTGTGCGGCGTCCATTCAATGCCATTGAGGAGAATTAGAGAGCTAATGCTAAGTTAAATGTCCACAGTGATCTTTTAGGGAAAGCGTTTATTTTTTTGCATGCACCTGCATTTGTGGCATCAGGTTGCCGTGGGTGCCCCATTTATTTGGACTTTGTTCCATGTTTCATTTGAAGCTGCAATGCCTTTCTGGTTGTATGTCAAACTTAGCAGTAAATTTGATTTGAGTGTGTGTTTTTTGAATGAGTTTATGTCTAATAGTGATGGTTTCGATCCTGCAGTGGGCGGGGTTTACTTTGGACTGCCAATCAGGGGCTGTATTAATCCAATAGGAATCTGTGAAATAACCAGTGTGAAGTGGATGAAACCAGTTAGACTGACCCCTTGACCGGGCCCCGATTTCTACAGTCACATGTTCAGTAGTATAATGCAGGACAGCTTGGTTAATGTTGCTGTTTTGTTCTCTGTGCTTTATGTCACTCCTTGTTCTCTCGCCATGCAGTGCCAGAATTGACCAAGCCAACGTCCCCTCAGTGTCTGGCCACCCCCAGCTCTGTGTCCCCCAACCCTGGCCCCCCTCCCTCACCATCCCCCTCCCAGGCCACCGCTCCCGCCGGCGGCCTCGCCCAGGGTGGCAACAATGCCAAGCGGGCAGCGGTGGCCAACGGGCAGCCTCCTTCCGGCGCCCAGCCCCCCCAGCGCTACATGTCCCGAGAAGTGCCCCCCCGATTCCGCTGCCAGCAGGACCACAAAGTGCTACTGAAGCGGGGCCAGCCGCCGCTGTCCTGCATGCTGCTGGGGGGGGGCAACGGCAATGGAGCCAGCTCCCCCCCCTCACAGGGAGACGGCCCAAATGCAACGGCTGCTGGAGCCACAGGTAGGCAGGGGGTCGAGGTGTCGCTGCTGGTAAGACACATAAGCTACTGGGAACCTGGGGCCTCTATCATCAAGCTGGATTTTTGGGTTAGCAAGATTGCCTTAAATTCAACAAGTTGTCTGGGCTAAATGTACGTGAACAAAAACAATCTGATCTGGGGTGCCTTAACTTGCCAGCTTTTTCTAGCTAACCAACAAGTCTCACACCAGTGCTAATGTTTTTCCTTTTTTTCCTCTCTCCCTCTAGATCCCAGTCTTGGATCTCTGGGTCCAGCAGTTCCTTCACCCCCCCACTCTTCTTCCTCCTCCTCCTCCTCCTCCTCATCATCAGTCGCTGCTTCTTCTACTACGAATTATGCAAATTCCACTTGGGGGGTGAGCTCGGGAAGCCAGCCCCCGTCTCAGGGCTGGGAGAAGGTGATTGTTGACGGGTCTGACCTGGAGGAGTGGCCCAGCATTGTGGGCGGGGCCGGGGGGGACAGCATGGGTGCGGGTGGGGCGGAGACCGGTGGTGCCTCATGGAGTGACAGACACCCCCAGCAGCAGAAGGGAGCGGGTGTGACTGTGGGGGCCGGGAAGGCTGGTGCCACGGGTAGCTCCTCCCCTCCATCCTCCACTTCCTGTTCGCCCAACGAATGTACGCAGCCCGGGGGTGTCGCATGGGGGTCGGCACCCCCCAAATCCAAAGCCACTCCTTTCTCTGGGCCCTCGGAGGGTGCGCTCGGGGCCAGTGGTGGGATTCCCGGTGCCAACTTCAACCCCAGTGCCAACCCATCTGCCTGGCCTGCTTTGGTGCCCGAAGACACGGCCGGCACAGAGGGGGCGCCTGCGGCGGAGGGCAGTCAGGCCTCCCTCCAGCCTCCCCCTTCCCCGTCTGCCAGCCCCGCCCCCGCCAATCCGGCCAGCCACCCACATGATGTGCAAAACAGGGACAGAGATCCCCCCCACGGGGAGTGGGGGGGTGCAGCTTCGGAGCCAAGAGTAGGACCAAAAACGGCAGGGGACATGGACAGTGGAGTCGCGGTCGGGGAAGAGCCCTCTGCATCTTCATCGTCATCCTCTTCCTCCTCCTCCTCCTCCTCATGGAGGGTCCAGTCTTTCCCTGCGAACTCTAAAACGGGTGCCTCACGGGTCGAGGCATGGGATGGTGGGGCGGAAGGTGCCGCCGGTCCCGGGGGGGAAGGGGGGGCCCCTTGGGGGCACGAGGAGAAGGGAGTCGCAGTAGCGTCGGGGGCCCAGGGCTGGCCATCGGGAAACGGGGGTGGCTGTAGGACCCTCGGGGAATCTCAGGGAGTATGGGAAGGAGCGAGAGGGGAGGAGCTTTCAGTCGGGGAGTGGGGTAATCCAGGTAGGGGGGTGTCTCCAGAGGACGCCAGCGGTTTGACTGGGGGCGGCAGCGAGGGTGGTGGAGGCAGCAGCAACAGCAGCAGCAGGGGCAGCGTCGGAAACACCTCCGCCTCCACCTCCGTCACTCCCACAACCGCAACAAGAGCTTGGGACAATCAGACGGGTGCCAGTGAGGGCGGGGCCGGAGAGGGAGAGGAGTGGGGGGGCCAAGGAAAGGGAGCAGCCAGTGGGGCGTCAACCTCCAGCGGGGGGCGCTCCAGGGCCAGCGGTGGCCATGGGCACCACCGCTCCTCCCACCCGCCACCCAACCCTGAAGTGGCCTTGCAGAACCTACTGCGGCGGACGGACCTGGACCCACGGGTGCTTTCCAATGTGGGCTGGGGGCAGACCCAGATCCGGCAGAACGTGGCCTGGGACTTGGAGGAGGGGTGCGACAAGGGCAGTGGCACGGTGAACCCCGCCCCCTATTCCGCCACTGCCGTCTCAACGACTACTGATCCACTGGCAGTGAGCCAGAGCCCTGGCGAAGCCCCCTCAAGAGATGGATGGGATGGAGGGGGTGGAGCCCGCGGTGTCCCAGTGTCTGGGTCGGGAGTGCGAAACCCTGTGGCCCCCCAGGCCACTGGAAGCAGCGTTGGTGGTCCAGGGAAGGGTGTGAGTGGCTGGGGAGGAGTTAGTCCTGGAGAGGCCCAGGGGAAAGGCTGGGGTGATGATGGCCCGGAGTGGAGGGAGCACAGGGGTGGTGGATCTGGGGAGTGGGGCGCCTTCGGGCAACAGGGTACTGTGGCAGGTGTGGGGGGGAGCAGTTGGGGGGGTGGGGTGGAGGAGAAAGGCACAGGGGGGTGGAAGGATCCTGGGAGGGAGGGGGGCTGGGGACAAAGGGGTGGCAGCGATTGGGCAAAACGGGAGCTGAAATCGGAACGGGGTGTCTGGGGGGAGGGTAAGGGTGGGGCAGGGAGTGATCCTGAAGTGGGCTCCTGGGGCAGCTGGGATGAGGGGGGGTCGAGGAGGGGGTGGGGGAGCGGAGACAAATCTCACCAAGGCTGGGGGGCCAAGCAGACACCAGGCGGCCAAGCCACAGCCGTGCCCAAGGGCTCTGTGCAGCACCAACAATCGCAGCCCCAGCAGGGGCCGCTTCTGGATGCAGGGGCCACGCATGGCAGCTGGGGCCGCCCGGGGGGGCCGTCCTCTCAAAGCCAGAACCAAAGCTCTGGCTGGACTTCGGGACCCATGCCGGCGCTGGCAGGTGGCCCAGCCGAGCGCCCCGAGCCCAGCGGCTGGGAGGAGCCGTCGCCACAGAGTGTCAGCCGGCGCATGGAAATCGATGATGGCACGGCGGCCTGGGGCGACCCCAGCCGCTACAGCGGCAAGAGCGTCAACCTGTGGGACCAGAACGGCGCTGCCACCACCGGCCCCCAGCCTCAGGGCCAGCCCACCCCCCCCCAGCAGCAGCAGCAGCAGCAGCCACCACCTTCCGGGAGGCCTGGCGGCCGGGAGCAGGGGCACAGCCAGGGCAAGGCGGCAGCTATGGGTGAGCACCCGGCGCGTTGTGGGATCCGGTGCCCGTCGTGCTGCTTCAGAGCGTAGCTGAGCTGTGGATTCTGCCGTTTTAGTTTGATAAAATCCAGGATGCAGGCTCCGTATTTTAATCCTTTTGAGGGAAATTAGATGTTTAGCATGTAGATGTTTGATAGCTAGTTAATTGCTAAAAGTTTGTAACAGCGGTGTGTTCCACTCCGTGTGGGAGCAGGTAGTGTGTTGTGACTCTTCAGGTCAGCTGATCTCGTCTCGGCTCTGCTGCTGTTTTCTCTGCCGGATATGAATGTTCACGCCTGCCCTCCCTCCCCCCCATCTTGTTTTACTAGCTCCAGCATCGTGGGGAGGTGGGGGTAGCCACGGTGACCCGGCTGTGGACAACGGCACCACGGCCTGGGGCAAAGCCTCTGACGGGCCCGCAGGCTGGGGGGACCCGGAAGATTCCGGAAAGGGCTGGGGGAATCCGTCCTCTGGCGCGGGGAAGTCCGGTAAGGACGCAGCTCCCTCGGCTCTGCACCGCGTCGCGGCCTGTGCCCTCCCGAATTTATGCGGCTGCTGGTTTTCACCCATAGGCTCCAAGTCTATGCAAGAAGGCTGGGGAGAGGGGGAGGTCTCAGTTAGCGCCTCGCGTCACTCCAGCTGGGAGGAGGAGGAGGAGCCCACTGCCGTGTGGAGCAGCGCCGGCTCCCAGGGAAGCAGCTCGTCCTACAACTCTGGGGGCTGGGGGCAAGGCCACGGGGGCAAGAAGGGCAACAGCAAGGTGTGTGTCTGAGCCTAGTTCATACTTCACTTTTCTGCAGTTTGGGCTGTGGAAGCTTGTGTCCGTGCTGTATGCATATAGCAGTGATGTTCCTCCAGACCAGGAGAGGGCAGATGTACTGTGACAAATACAAACAGTGTAGTGAAATGGGTGAACTTTTTATAGACTATTCTAAGGATATTAGTAAAGGCTTGGGAGTGGAGCATGCTAATATTTCGAAATACTGATGACACAATTAGCTAGGACATTTAAAATAGCATTTACTTTGGTATAATGTCTGGGCAGTATAAAAAAAAAAAAAAAAAGAGATCATACAGCTGCTGAGCATAACTACTGCAACAGCTATTCTTCTACTCCTCGGTTGACCTGGAAGTCAATGTGCAGCTGACACACGAACATACATGATCTCTGCCAGACAAAAAAAACATCTGGGCTGCACATGCATGATCCACAGCCGTCGGGCACAAACCCCTAATGACCTCACCCCCCGTGCGTGCGTGGAAAATTTAAAGTATAAATTTTCCTTAAGTGGCATGATTCAGCTCTGCAGGTTTGTTTCTCAAAACTCAGCAGGATCGATGCTCATTTGCGCGAAATGAGCATAATTAGAGGTTAATCCTGCTCTGCTTGCTGAAGGGGGCTTGTCTGTCTCTCAGGTTTCCTTAAAGTCTGGAGGAGATTCCTGGATGAATCCCATGAACAGACAGTTCTCCAACATGGGGATTCTGGTATGTCCCATTCCCTTTTACGCTGTACGTTAGAGGGGCTGAAGGCCAATGGGATTTCATGGTGTGATTGGTGCTCCCCCACCCCAGGGAGAGGAGCCTGGCGGCAGGCCCCTCGATCTGGCGTCCGCTCCTCCCCAGGACAAGAAGCTGGAAGGAGAAAAGCGAGGGATGAGTCTCGGCGACTACGGCGAGGAGATGCGCAAGGGAGGCCGTGGGGGCCCAGTCTTCCGTTCAGCCGGTTCCAAAGAGGCAGGGCCTGCTGATCCTGGGCCTTATTATGACAAGGTAACTGGCGCTGCTCCTCTGCCGCCCCCAGGGCACCCGAGCTAACATCCCTGCTCCGTTAACTCTGCCTGCCCCTCATACTTCGCCTTCAACTTTTATTAGGAGCTCAGATTGGCTATGGTCATCAACTGACCTTTCCTTTAACCAATCAGGATGGATTCCCTGTGTCCTTTGCTTTAAAGACCTGTCCCCTCTCCATGGCCGCTTCATTGCCCTATTGTAGCTACACCCAGTGATTAGCGCCCCCCTCAGTCTATACGCTCCCACCTTTCCTCAGGTGGGGGGTCACGGCATGTTCAGTGGTGGTGGCGGGATGGCCCAGTCGCGGGGCGTACACCCCATGAACCCGTCCCCAGGGATACGAGCACAAGTGCCTCATCCGTTCCTGACGCCTCAGGTGAGCTGGATGCATGCCCCCCCCCCCCACTCCACCCCATGTGCGTTTGTGGGGGATATTTGTTCACTCTCATGCGGCTCTCTGGTCTGCAGGTGCCGGGCTCCGTGCTGAAGCAGGTGCCCCCTCCCAGCAGTGGCGTGGGCGGCCTCGGCGTGGGCGGGGTCGGGGGTTTCCCGCCCCAACTGTCCCCCCAGCATCTGGCTGTGCTGAGCACCATCTACCCCCAGGTGCAGCAGTTCCACCTGGTCAGTGACCCTTTAGCACGTCTGTGTCTGTGTGTGTCTGTGTGTGTGTGTGTGTGTGTGTGTGT